TAAATCTCAATCAATGGTTAAACAAAAAAACGTTTGAAAAACTGAAGCAATAAATATGGACTATTAATCTTCAAAACTAAATTATATTTAACGAAAATCAATTATCAACGTTAGTAATCGTAAGTTTTACATTTCGCTCTAATTTTCTTCTCCTTCTCCTTAGTATACTTGAAAGCATAATCAAAGCCCTCCATTTGTAGCCTTCAAGAGTGAACTGTAGCCACCCATTTCGCTTGGCCACAAAGTGACCGCTTAGCTGAACTATGACCACTCACTCAGAACTTGGCTATCATTTAACTATTTGGCTAAATCTCCACCACTCACTCCACTTGTCCACCGCTTGACCAAATCAAGACTTATTATTTGTTTGGCTAAACCTCTACCACTCATTTCACTTGTTCATAAAGAGATTCTTCAGCCAAACCATAATCACTTATTTGCTTGCCACCATTTAGCCTCTCCGATAAATCTCCACCACTCATTGAACAAAACTTGGATGAACTCATTTCTCATACTTGAGCTTTGATAATGGGTCTAATCCAAAAACACGCTATTTTCAAAACATTTGAGTTAATGCTTGGACGTGTGATCTGTAAATTTTGATTTTGATTTTTTTTTTTAGGGACAAAAAAAATAAGAAGTCTAATAAACTTCAGTCAACTTTCACATGTAAGATTGACTAATACTCATAAAACTTTTTAAGTCTGCATTTTAAAAAGAATGGAGACATTCGGATGCAGGGGAAGCGAACTAATGTAAGTATACATACATGTATCTGCCAATAAATTATAGAAGGAGAATCCCGCTTAAAACTAGGCCCAATATTTAAGCACTGTTGGGAATTCGGTGTGTTCTAATAAATCAACACTTCTTTTCCAGGAAAACAGGGTTAGTTTTTTTCTGCTTGTTAACAGCTCATTTCAAGGTTATCATGAATTATAGAGTGCCTGATTATGTTTCTTTTCTAAATTCTTGCATCAAGAGCATTCTCTGAACCAATTAATCTTTCTTATAGTGCTTGTTACACTATTAAAAGAGGAACAAGTTAAATATTCATGATCATCTTTCTTAATTTACGACCAAAAAAATACATGATCACATTGACATTATGATACATGTAGGCATCTGCTGCGCATATATGAGTTTATACATTCATGATCTTGATTCAAACTTAATCCATTATAAAATCATATAGTGCTTAAACATCATTGTTGGATCTTCTTTTTGTCTTCAATGCATCCAAGAATTGATCTACGGCTTTTGTAGAAGACCATTTTGAATTTGATTCATCTTTGATGGCTGTGTTAATTATCTCCTTAATTTCCCTACATTTCCTCAGGTTGATATTTTTATCTTGTTATACATAAAATCACAGGGCATGAATTCTCGACAGAGTGACTAAGCAAACTAGAGCATTCATTCTCTCCACGGGTCTCATGACTATGCATCTATCTAGGTTACGTGTCTCAAATAGAAAGAGTAACTTCACTTGTAAGGCTACTAAAGATTGCTTCAATAATAAGGTTCAAGATTGAGCTATCATCCATGTAGTGTGACACCTTATGAGATGACTACTTCACCGTTAAGTCTCTAATAAGGGCTGTTTGTCAGGCCACATATCATGCAGTTAGAGGGTTGCTTCATGAGTAAGATCACCCATCCAACAATATAAATAGGGGTCTCTCACCCCAAATCAAGAATCAAGAATCAAGAATTTCATTTTCTCAATAGCTAAAGAGCAATTATCTCTCTTGAGAATAAATATCTTTTGTAAACGCATCAACACATCAATAAGATAACGGTATAGGTAGGATTTGCACCTTGCATCTGAACCATTTTAAAATTATTCTTTGTCTATTCTCTTTTTTTTTAATTGCACGTGTTATCGTTATTATCGCCCACAAATTCAATGTCATATTTCAGGGTTTGGCACAGACCCTTTACGCAAACTCCCCTAGAAGGCTCACATACTTCTCGTTGGTGCGAAAAATCGTAACACGATATCTCATAAATCTTTATCCGTATTTTTGTGTCACTGCAGATGGAACTCTGTGATTGAAGCACTGAGCCATGGGGTGCCAATAATTGGGTGGCCATTGTTGACAGAGCTGTTTTACAATGTGAAGTTGCTGGAGGAAGAAACTGACGTTTGTGTGGAGTTTGCGAGAGGGAGGAATGACAGCCCTCGTCCAGATTCTTCGATTCTTTCTTCAAATCCTTCAGGCAGCCATTCATTGGCTTTAAATTCAGAGTTTATGTCAAAGCCTAATGGTGACATAACAACCCAAATGAAATTATTGCCACAGCCCTCTAAAGCCATTGCGAATTGCATCATTTTGATGCAAATATCGTGTTCTGTGAACCAAATGGAACACAGAGAACTGAACAGAGACGTTTCTTATCAAACCAATTTTTGCACTCTCCGGAGATTCTCTATTGCTTTGCGTTTGGCTTCCTGGAGTCAAAAGAACAGGCCCAACTGGCCGAATATGTAGGCCGAATTTTCTCCTAAAACACATTAGTCCAAGCTTGCCAAATAAATTATAACTAAACTACATTGATAAGAAAATTAAAAGCTTGTGTGATTCAATTAAAACATAATTCAAAATTTTGAGTTGTATCTTACTATTTTTATTATTTGAAAATGTGTTTGATATAATATTCAAAATTTGTTTTTAATAAAAAAACAAAAAAAAAACAAAAAATATTGTGAAAACAATTTTTAATTGTTTTTTTTTCACTGGTTTGAAGGATTATATCCAAAAAAAAAAAATGTTTTTAAAAACATTTTGATTCATTTCAACCAACTTATTTTTATAATATTTGTCGTATCTTTAAAAAAAAAAAAATTACATTTAAATTATATATCAACAAGTCCAAAAAATTATTAATTAATAATTCTAGGAAACAAGTTAGTGAAGCCTCATGATTTGGATTTATTGGTAGGGCCTTAGAGAATTGTGGTTTTTAAGGGCTTGGACACCCTCTCTTGACAAGCCGATTTTACAAAGAGAGTTCTACCCAAGCCCACAAAAGGACCACTGCCTAACTCAATTCCTATAAAATGCTCACTATCCAACCAATTCATATCAATTTGGGAATGGATTCCTATCAAATAGTATCAAAGCATAATCATGCGCCCACATGGACGTTGCCTACATGACAGGCTGACATTGGGCTCGGGCTACTACCCCAAGAAAGGGTATGGAGGCTAGAGGGAAAGGGGATCTGCATAGTCACCCAATGGATAAAGAGGCCGACGGAGGTAAAGAGGCCAATGTAGATGTCAGTTGTAGAAGCGTGGTAGTGTATTAGGATCCTGCCTTGAAAGGGAAAAGGGGTGTGCATGTGGTTTATAAGGGCTTGGGCACCCTCCCTTAGCAAGCCGATTTTCCAAAGAGAATTATATCTAAGCTCATAAAAGGACTACTGTCTATCCCAATTCCTATCAAAAATTTATTATTCAACCAATTCATATCAATTTGGGAATGGGTTCCTATCAGTAACTAAGCAAATCTTTGTAATTTTATGTACTCCCCTTCTATCATTATCGTTACTTTCACTTTTTTCGAAACCCTACCTATGTCATGTCCATGCTCTTTTTTTCTCAATTCATGCCACCAAAATAATGCAACAAATTATAATCTAATTTCCATACACAACACCTTATATTGTCACATCCTAATCCAGGAAAAATGTAACAATCAATATATTGATTGTTGATGCGTGATTTTGGACACCAACCAACTGACACGTGGACAACGTTGATTGATCAAGAAGTACACGTGATCTTGAATAAAAAGGAAATAAATGCGATGAGAGCTTTTAAAGTGGTTCAGATGCTAAGGTAGCAAATCCTACATCCACTGATATGTATTAATATGGTGGGTCATGTCGCTAAAGCGGACTGACTTAAAAATGATTGAAAAGTAGAATACAGAGCCTTTTTGAGAGAGAGATTAAATGTCAAAATGATCGAATCCCCTTAATGAAGGGGTCTTCCTCTTCTTATACCAAGCTGAATGTGTGTAATCATCATTAAATCCTTGGGTTGGTGTGAATGTCAGAACATAATCAGGCTTTACGTCCCATTACCCACTTCCGAAGCTGATTTTACCCGATTTGGAGCAGATAAGCGGACACGTGGGAGCTCCAGGGTGCATGGCAGGCCTGACGTGCGCTTATCATTCTGACGGGAGCAGGCCACATCTCGTCACGTAACTCCACGTCAACTCTTTATTTCCCGGGCATAACATTGATCTAATAACATTATTAGATTGGTATGAAAAGATAAAGTTATTACGTAACATCAATTAATATATTATTATCACGTAATTTTTTAAATTAATTACTATCAATCACTAAATTATACGTGCGACCAAGCTCAACTAATATAAACATCCCATTTCTTCGAAAACCTCAAAACAGAAAATAATAATAAGTGATGCTAATAGCCACTGTCTTTTTCCTAAATTAGTCCCGGCCCAGTCACAAATTTAAATTGGTAGTCTAAGGTCATGCAGTAATTTCCTCTTTGACAGAACCACAGCTTTTTTTTTATAATAGGTCCCAATAGACAAAACCTGTCGGCCAAAATTAGTCTCTAAAATACACCAGTCAAAGCTTCTCAAGCCAAGCTCCTCTGCTCTGTTTCCTTTTTATCTCTATGAGAAGAGCCAATGCAAGTAAAGGAACCATATGCCATTAATGATAATATTACAATGCTTACTTTTGTTTGTACCGTTGTTGTATTGAGAATAAAAGAGGAAGAAATACAGGAAGAGGATCAATTCTGAAGAAAGGAGAGGACAGTGAAGTAACCTGCAGGGTGAATTATTATTAAGCTGGGGTCTGAGAGCATGTGGTCACAAATTTCACTCTATATCTCTTCTTTCTGAAAGGTCGGAGCGTAAAATTCTAATATCAAATTCTTGACTTAGAAATGAAAGCATTTCCCGCCATAGATGAATGATTGTAAATTAATTCACAAATTTAAAATATATGCAATAGTTTACCTAAAGGAAAATTAATTATAATCTTGGGCAAGCTCACTCTTAATCATAGTAATAGGGATCTTACAAAGTACAGTTGATTAGAGACAGTATTACTTTCTTTGATGTTATTTAATTAATGCAAATGCAAGATTTTTCTTCATGAACTGACAGAGGAGCTCCATGGATTTCCCCTTTGTCTTCTCCCCTTAGCTTCGATGCAGCATTCAAGAATTGATCCATGGCTTCCATAGATGACCCTTTAAAATTTTCCTCATCTTTGGTTGCATTGTTAATAATCTCCTTAATTTCCCAAGCTTTCTTTCTCATTTCCTTTCCTTTCTCACTCTCATTCATCACCAACTCAATTTTCGCCACTATTTCCTCATGAAAAATCTCACAGTTCTTCCCTCTAGCAACCTCCACACATACTCCAATCTTCTCTTCCAACAACTTCACATTATAGAACTGCTCTGCCGCCATTGGCCACCCAATCATCGGCACTCCGCGGCTCAGTGATTCAAGCACAGAGTTCCAGCCACAATGACTCAAAAATGCAGATAAAGATTTGTGAGATAAAATCTCCACTTGGGGTGCCCATGTATGAACTACTAGTCCACGGCCTGAGTCTCTGATCCTTTCTTCAAATCCTTCAGGCAACCATTCATTGGCTTTAAATTCTGAGTTTATGTCAAAGCCAATTGGTGGTCTCACAACCCATATAAAATTCTTGCCACAAGCTTCTAAAGCCATTGCCAATTGCATCATTTGTGATGAAGATATGGTGTTCTGTGACCCAAATGACACATAGAGAACTGAACAAGAAGGTTTTTTATCAAGCCAATTTTTGCAAATCTCTTGTGATAGACCAAACTCTTTACCAGCTCGAGCTTTGTTTCCTGAAGAGAAAAGAACAGGCCCAACAGGCCAAACCGGTCGGCCGATTTTTCTCCTGAAATAGTTTAATCCTGTCTTGTCAAATTCCTCAACTGTGTTAACCAAAATTGCATCAGCTTTGACCCAAAGAGGAAACACTTTCTTCACAAAAACTGAAAAAGAATCACTCCCATCAGCAGCTCTTACAGTATCTGACATCTGAGTAACATGAAGAGTAGAAGCTTCAGGAAAATCAGGCAACTCTAATTCATCAGAATCTGAGTTGCTATGAGGAAGTTTTAGCCACAAGGAGTAGTAACAAGCAAAGCCAAAGCCACCACCTGCAATAAATATAGCATGAAACAAACCAAACTCATAAGCGATCTCCGCACACCATCCAAAGAACATGCTTGAGATGATACGGTTGAAGTATGAATCTTTTGGTAGAGGCATGATAGAAGAATTTCAGTTTGAGATAAACTCAAATAGAAGTTTTTTTCTATTTTATTATTTTGTAACTTCTTGTGACTGTTGTTGTCAGTTATCCCTTCAAAACTTATAAAAGGGAAGGTTAGCTGTATGTTTTAATTGAGTTCAATTAATAATATTGTTTTCTTTTTACACAAGTTTATCTTCTTCTTTATCTTTATGAAATTAGAAGCCAGATAACTGTATTTCCTGGCTTCTAATTTCCAACAGATACAAAGTGGACGTTTATGCTCATTTTCATCCTGGAAAAGCTTGGAGATGAGGTTTCGGAACTGGGATTTGAAAGATAAAGAAGCTTCAAAGAGCTTGGGAACAAGATCATAGGGAAAACACTTGAGATAAAAAGGAAAAGAAAAAATTGATGATAATAATCACATCCTTTTCCTAATTTGTTGGAAATCACAAATTTAAATCGGTGAGGGTTGAATTTTGACTTTTTGTATTCACTCTTTTATTCATTTTGTGTCACATCAGTTTGTACACAAATCTTTATAAGATTTATTTGCACATAAGTGTATTTTTAATTTCCAGTTAACCTTTATAATATAAATTAATTCTTTAGTTGTAGTTTGTAACATAAAAAACGCATAGTTAATTAGTTTGACCCATGTTCTTATACATATATAGCAAATAGAATCTCTGTCTCACTCTCGCCCTCTCATTGTGACATGCTATATTACTTATCTTGTGTAGTGAAATATGAGTGCAATGAATAAAACGAAGTGTGAGTGGAGAACACTGAGTGTATTGCACAAATTAAAATTTAATACAATAATTTAAGGAAAGGAAAATGAATTACTGGATCTCCGTATTCCCCTGTAACATGATCTTCCAAGTAGAATTGAGAAGAGAAATTATTGGCTGTTTTTTCTGTTATTCAAATGCAATAATTTTCTTCATAAACTGACGAAGGAGCTCCATGGATTTTCCCTTTGTCTTCTCCCCTCAGCTTCAATGCAGCGTTCAAGAATTGATCCATGGCTTCCATAGATGACCCTTTAAAATTTTCCTCATCTTTGATAGCATTGTTAATTATCTCCTTAATTTGTAAAGCTTTCTCTCTTATTTCCTTTCCCTTCTCACTCTCATTCATCACCAACTCAATTTTTTCCACTATATCTTCATGAAAAACCTCACTCCTCTTCCCTCTTGCAACCTCCACACATACTCCAATCATGTCTTCCAACAATTTTACATTATAAAACTGCTCTGCTGCCACTGGCCACCCTATCATTGGCACGCCATGGCTCAGTGATTCAAGCACAGAGTTCCATCCACAATGACTCAAAAATGCAGATAAAGATTTATGAGATAAAATCNAGGAGATGGGGAATGAAGACGAAGATGTTTTGCAACAGAAAACGAGTTTTTGTTAAATTTTTTTTTTTTTTTATTAAAAGTATGGACGAGCGTCCATTGGAATGGACGCCCGTCCAAATTAAGGGACGCCCGTCCATAATTTATGGACGGGCTTCCAAATTTTTTATTTTATTTTTTAAAACAAATTAAGTTTGGACGGGCGTCCCGTATTTGTGGACGCCCGTCCAAAATTAAGGGACGGCCGTCCACAACCTATGAATGGCCGTCCATAATGTTTTACAAATTTTTTTATTGTATTTTATTTATGGACGGACGTCCTTTAAATGGGGACGCCCGTCCCTTGTATATGGACGCCCGTCCATATAATATGGACGGGCATCCATGTGAGTGAAAGGCCGTCCAAATTTGATGGACGGCCGTTCACTATAAAAAAATTATGAAAAAATTCAGACGCGCGTTACACGTATGCCGGTACAGAATTTCAGTGTAATTTTTTTGGTGTCTGTAGTGTTATTGAAAAAAATTCTGACGTGCGTTACACGTAGGCCGGTACAGAATTTCGGTGTAATTTTTTCGGTGTCCCTAATGTTATTGCTATTTTAAAACCCCATAGAAACCTCAAAGAAAGGCTTTGGACTCAGTTAAAGCTCAATTAAGATATTTATTGGACTGTCATGGAGATTGGAGAACCTTGGAGAGACAAGCTTTGGGGCATTTGAAGCCCGACCAATTAACAGAACTCTGTTAACCAATAATAATAAGAGTAATGCTACACTTACAAAGAAATTTTACAAAGATCTCTATACAAAGTGATGTAGCAAAAAATGAAAGGAATAGTGAATTTAATGAGTTTGACCTTTTATTTCACTCTTCCATTCATTTTTTGCCACCTCACTTTGTATGCAAATCTTTGTAAGATTTCTTTGTAAATATAGTATTATTGTAATAATAAACACTCAAACAACAAATGTTTTATAATTCTTGATAATTTTGTTTTAGTTTTTATCCATTAGTGTTAATCTAAAACATTAAATCCATTGGTTAGAAAGGTTCGCACGAGAGACCAAATGTATAATATTTGAAAATATGTCTAATATAATATTTAAAATCTATTTTCAGATTAAACGGCATAAAAAACTATGAAAAATGGCTTGTAATCGTTTTTTAATTTTACATTAGTTTTTAAGATTGTGTTCGAATATTATTTTTGAAAACAATTCTATTCGTTGTTATCTAACAAAATGTCACAAGATTAGTTATATTCTTTGTTTTTAAAAAACAAAAAAAAAAAAAAAAAACAAAAAAAAACTCTCACAACTTCTTTTGTCAATCTTTCTTAATCTTTAAAAATAAAAATAAATAAATAAATAAACATTAGATACATATAAGCATCCAAGAATCGAAGTTATACAATATACCAGTACATAATTTTATGCTTAAATCTCATTGTTGGATCTTCCTTTTGTCATTAATACAGCATTCAAGAATTGATCCATGGTTTCCATAGATGACCCTTTAAATTTTTCTTCATCTTTAATGGCATTGTCAATAATCTCCTTTACTTCCAAAGCTTTCTTTCTCATTTCCTTTCCTTTCTCAGAATCATTCATCAACAACTCAATTTTTGCCACTATTTCCTGATGAAGAACCTCACAACTCCTCCCTCTAGCAACCTCCACACAAACTCCAATTTCTTCCTCCAGCAACTTCACATTATAAAACTGGTCTGCCACCAGTGGCCACCCAATCATCGGCACGCCATGGCTCAGTGATTCAATTGCAGAGTTCCATCCACAATGGCTTAAAAATGCAGATAAAGATTTATGAGATAAAATATCAACCTGTGGTGCCCATTTACAAACTAAAAGCCCACATCCTGACTCTTTGATTCTTTCTTCAAATCCTTCAGGCAACCATTCATTGGCTTTCAGTTCTGAGTTTGAATCAGAGCATAAAGGTGGCCTAACAACCCAAATGAAATTCTTGCCACAACCCTCTAAAGCCATTGCCAATTGAATCATATTTGATGCAGATAGGGTATACTGTGACCCAAATGACACATAGAGAACTGAACAGGAAGGTTTCTCATCAAGCCAATTTTTGCATTCCTCTTGGGAGATTCCGAAATCTCTGCCGGTTCGAGCTTGGCTTCCCGGGGACAAAATAACAGGTCCAATAGGCCAAACTTGTCGTCCGAATTTTCTCCTGAAATACATTAGTCCAAGTTTGTCAATTTCCTCCACTGTGTTGAACAAAATTCCATCAGCTTTTCTCCAGTGACAAAATAGCTCGTTTCTTAGAAACACTGAAGTAATATCAGTTCCATCCGCAGCTCTTAAAACTTCTTCCATCTGAGTAACATGAATCGTAGAACCTTCAGGAAAATCTGGCAACATAAATTCATCGGAATCCGTGTTTCGATGAGGTAAATTCATCCACAAAGAGTAGTAACATGCAGACGCAAAACCACTAGAACTGATGAACATTGCATGATATATTCCAAACTCTTGAGCTATCTCGTCACACCATCCTAAAAGCATGTCTGAGATGATGCACATTGGTTTTTGTCCATTTTGTTGATGGATAAGATTAGAGATAAGTTTGCCAAAATGGGGTTTCAAAGACAAAGAAGCTTGAAAGAAATTGTAAAACAGATGATCTGGAAGAGATTCCAGGTTTTCAGTATTAGGAGGGAGACCAAAATCTAAGCTATTAAAAGGGAGTTCAATGAGATGAATGGAGGAGTTCTGAGGGAGAGATGATCTGAGTTTCTTGATATTTAAAGGGGTGTTAACAAAAGTTATGATGTATTTGTTTGCTTTTTCAATTCGACGAGCTAAAGATAGGAAAGGATTTATATGGCCTTGTGCCATGAAAGGAAACATCACTATGTTTTCTTTTGTTTGTGCCATTGTTGTGTTGAGGATCAAAGAGGAAAAAACTGGTAGAGGATGAAGAAAGAGAGGAGTATAATAAGCAAAAAGAAAAATTAATTATTTGCAATCTGTTGAGATAAATGGTGAAGCCGATCTAGATTTATTGGCATTTCGTTTGTGGGGGAGGGGGTTAGAAGTGTTGAAACGTTAAGCCATCTTTTGCACATGTTTTTAGTAGATGTATGGACACTACAATCCTTTGACACATTGATTTTTACTGTGAAAACAAGTAAACATGGCATTAAATTTAGGAGAAAAAAAATGGTGGATTAGTTAACTTAAAGATGACAATTATAGATGGTGTTAAAATTATGTGAAAGCATTACGGTCAACATCTCCACCGCCGCATGCATGGCCTCCATCTCCCAATAATCAGCCTCCCATATTCAGATTAATAGAGTTTCATTGTTTAAATGAACAAACATCAAATCAACAGCAATTTCATTTTCGAGATACTTAACATAAATTTATAAATCATCCCACACAAACAAATACGGTGTTTACTTGATTCAACATAACTGGTTTATATTAATTAATGCATGAGAGAGAAATCTACTATAATTTCATGAATACAACATACAATACTATGGACAAGTAAAAATCTTTTAACAAGAATATTACAATATAATTCTATATCTCAAGTTTTGAATTTCAAGCAATGTGTTGATACTTTAAAGATGCACATCATAAATTACTTAATAATATAAT